AAAGGAGGATGGATAATACTACATATGAAGTATAAGTGCTTTTTTTTCTTAGGAATACAGTTTCTTACTTGAACATTCATGCATTTCATACCATGCTCTTCTCTCCCTCTCCTTCCTCAGGACAGTTCCCTACCACAGAGCCTATCCTTCAGGAACTGCTCCTGCATGGGCCTCACTATCAGCTGCTCCCCCCGACCTCCTGCTCACTGCAGGCTCCTCTCCATGGGCTGCATAATGATAGAGGCACAAGTTTCCACTTACTCCTATTTAAAGTGAATGCTTCTTAAATAATTATGAAGCAAGAATGCAACATAGGTCAATAAAATGTTTCCTGACTGATCATCTCTTGAAGGGCTAGTTGCATTCTTTAAATCCTGCTTGTCTGTAACCCTCCATTAAAACAGTCTGTTCTGAAATCATACTTATAAAAATGCTGGAGACTTTATTCTCTTGCAGCAGCTACCGTTTATTCCTATAACCAAAGTAATGTGCAATTTTGGCATTAATTTCTCAAACACTCTCAACCTGTTTCATTTCTACAGGACTGCAAAAAGCGAATACAGTGTCCCAATTGTAGTTATGTTAGGTTAGATCCCCAATAAGTGCAACATCAATTCTGAATTGTCGTTAAGAATACGTAGATGCTCAAAAGCTTTGCTCAGGTGCTGCTTAAGCTTGGACCTATCTAATGCTTTATGTTCATACTCCTTACATAGCTGAAATTCTGCTTCTTCTTAACCTTAAACACACTGACAACAAGGTACTGTTTTTTTTCTTCCTGATAGATGAGAAGCACCATTCATCTGATATTTGGGATTGAGGCAATCAGTGAAAGCAGACAGGAACATGCACATTGATGCTACTTAGAAGAGATTCTTGGTTTGTCAGCCTGTGGGCTGGATAGCAGCAGGTCAATGAGTGAGATTCCCATTTCTTACCATCAACATTTTCATGCTACTACATGTCTGACTCAACAGAAAATAAAACAGAGCACACTTCAACGTATTATTTCCATTAGGTTTTGGAGAATTTTCTCAGCACTTTGAAAGCTAGAATTGTGAATCATTAGCAGAGAAGCTGGTTTAATTTAGGGATGCTTTCCACAAACACGGTTTTAGTTTAGTGTGTTTTCTTTTTTTCCTACAAATGTTTCTTCAGCCATAATACGGAGAGTGAAGCATGTTCTTTTTTTGTGCATGATCTATGAGACAAGTAAGCATGATTCCTTTCATCTTAATGATAGGATCTGATATTATTTACATTTTACGTTAGACTAATTTTTCTGGTTTTATGAAGGTACTGGGAACGGTATTCATTGAATGACTTGGGTTAAAAGTGACGAGTTCAATCTAGTCACAATCATCTAGTTCAATCATAGAATCACCAAGGTTGGAAAAGACCTCCAAGATCATCCAGTCCAACTATCCTCCCACCAATTTTTTCCCACTGAAAAATGTCCCTTAGAATTAAACAATTCTTAAACATCTTCAGAGACTGTGATGCAACTATCAATCTCTCTGGGCAGCTCATTGCAGCACCTGATTACTCTTACAGTGAATAAATTTTTCCTAATATCCAACCTGGACCTCCCCTTGTGCAGCTTGAGCCTATTCCCTTTAGTCCTGTTACTAGTTAGGTGGGAGAAGTAGCTTAACCTCACCTCACAACCCCCTTTCATGTAGCTGTGGAGAGTGATAAGGTCTCCCCTGAACCTCTTATCCGGGCTGAAGATTCCCTCAGTTCCCTCAGCCGCTCCTTATAACGCTTGTGCTCCAGACTATTCTCCAGCTTCAGTGATTTTGGATGTGCTCCAGGACCTCACTGTCTTCCTTGTAGTGGGGGGCCCAAAACTGAATATAGTACTCAAGGTGCGTCCTCACCAGAGCTGAGTATTAAGGGACAATCATCTCCGTGCTCCTGCTGGCAGCACTATTTCTGATACCAGCCCGGATGCCATTGGCCTTCTCAGCCACTTGGGTCACTGCTGGCTTATGTTTAGCTGAGTATCAATCAACATCACACCTCCGGATCCATTTCTTCCACAGAGTCTTCCAGCCACTCTGCTCCAAGCCTGTAGTGTTGCATGGGGTTGTTGTGGCCGAGGTGAAGGACCCAGCACTTGGTCTTGTTGAACTTCACCCCATTGGCGTCAGCCCAGATATCCTGCCTGCCCAGATTCCTCTGTAGGGCCTTTCTACCCCCAGGCATATCAGCATTATGACACTTACGTTAACTGTTAGACAAGCTAGATTAAATTTCAACCAGTAAGGATTTTAAAATCCAGAAAGGAAGTAAAATCAGTCTTTGTGGACTGATCTGGCAGGGTTCCTTTTGTGAGAAACTGGGGAGGAAGCACACTGTTAAAAAGAAAAGGATTTTCTTGATAATTACTTCTGAATCTTTCTTAATGAAAAATGATGGTGAATTTTTGTCTTGTATTTGCTAAAATAGAATTGTATGTGCTGGAAAACAGTTTAATCTACTGGAGGCAAAAGTGAATTCACTGGTTTGGAAAAGAAATCTAAAATCTAACACGGTCCAATTAAGATGATTTAAAGGTTAAAGAACAAATTTTGTTTGTCCTTCCCACAAGTAGTATCTGCTAAATGAAGAAATTGCACCCGGGAGTTTGTAAGTTGCAGCTGTGACTGATTTTAAGCAACTCAAGGTACTGAAATGGAGATTACTTCATTTTTTGGATGCTACAAAAATTATATCATCAGCAACGTTCTTGTACTGCACATAGAGATGTGGTCCATCAGTCTAAGGGCAACCCTGCAAAGGAAGCCCTTTCTTTTGGGAATGTGTCTTGCTTTACAGTTTGAGTCTGAGTTTAAATTGCAGCAAGCATGATGAAGAAAGTTTATTTTAATTTTCTGCTGACCATTTAGTAGATGTTCAGTCTTTGATAATACCTTCTTTTGACTTTTTTGGTAATTTCTTTACTGTTCACACATGGTAATTATTCAGTTGGTTAATGAATTACGATGCTTATGTTATGGTAAAATCTTTCTAGATTAAAAATAGAAATAAAATTAGTTGTTAATTTCATCTAGTGGCAGGTGACGAATATTCCAAAATCAAACTTTAGTCTTAGGTGGAATCAACACAGTTCCTGTGTTGCTGAGGTCCCTGTACTTGAGGTCTCTGTTAGAAGTAAAAAATTTGTTTTCTTTCTCCTTCATTCTGGAGAGGAGGTTGTTATGCTCAGATTGGGTTCTTTTTTTGGTCCCCTTTGGGCTGGGAAATATTTGAATTCTGTGATGCTAATATGTGTACTTACCTGTTTGCTATCAGAAACTTTATTTTTTATGATTAATTCTGTTAAAAAAAAAAAAAAAATATATATATATATATATATATATATTTGGGTCTGTTCTGTGGATGCTATCTAGAGAGCCTATTCAAATTTTAGTTGTATACTGCTTGGAAATAAATAATCAGCAACTGTCTAAAAAATGCTTCAGATACATAGGTTGCTCCAAAAGTAAAGCCTCCTATTATTACTATGGAAACTACAACATGTAAGAAGAACACAGTAGTACTGTATGATGGAGCAAATTCTCAGCTGCAGAATCTGTTTTTCAACATGGCGACCACCATTAGCTCTGCATTTTCGTCAGCGATGAAGAAAAGCATGCATGACCAATTAATCTTTTATGGTGACCCATTAATGCCACTGTTGAAAAATGCACCACCATCTCCTAACTGCTCACATCTGTTGTTTGGTCACCATCAATGTCTTGCAAATGTCAATGTGGGTGCCATTTTCTTGACATGGAGGAATTATATTACATCTCTTTTCTTTGTAAGTACTTCCATGTCAGATGCCATTTTGTCAGACTGCTGTCATCTGTTGCATCGCAAGAAAATGTCATGGAATTTTGGTGGGAAGATTCAACCTCTACTGCCATAGCACCAACATCCACATTTGAAGTCATGGACCAACATAATAAGATAGGAAGCATTACTTTCAAAGCAGCCAGAATAGTTGTTTTTTAGAATGTACTTTCTAATACTGTTATATCTGTGACGTAAATAATCTACTTATTGCTCTACAATGTGCCCATGTATTTCTCCGAAAGAAAGACGTGGATTATATTGGTTATTAATTATTAACTGGATTGATGATGAATTTATACTAAGTTCTTTTATGAGGGAACATTACTCAATGTTCCCTAATAGCCCTCATTATCACATTTATTGTTGATCTGAGTCGTTTTTTATCAAGTGTTCCTTGAGAGTGCATTTGGTTGAGAACACTTAGAAATGATATTGAAAGTTGTTTCTTTGACCTTTTAGGAAGGCACATAATCTTTATCTTAGATAAAACTAAGTCAGAGTCTTATCTGTAAATATTAAATGGTAGGTTAAATACAATTCTATCTCTATAATGTTTATCATTAATAAGTTGTCAGCACTCTTTAGAAATGTGAGTATTTCAATGTGTATTCGTGTTTCTCCTATTTCCAAAATAGAAACATAGTAATCAGTTAAGTCATAAGAATATAAATTGTTTGAGAAGTTACGCATCTGATCTATTTTGTTGCGTTCCCCATCTTCAGTTAAAAGAATAATATTCTTCATTTAATCCTATGGCTTTCAACTGTTTTATGTTACTCATTGCTTTAGTTTTTAAGTGCTTGATGGCTCAGGTGAAACTGTCAACCCTCCTAGACAAGCGAATCAATGCCTTCTTTATCCATTGGTATAGTCTTCATTTACCAAGGATAACTACTTGCTTAGTAGAGAAATTAAAAGAGCTAACGTTTATTCTGTGCTTTTTTTCTTACTCCTTTCCTCAGACAACTTTATTTCTACTTATTCTCTATTCTGTTTTTCTTGTTCTCTTACTCTGCATTCTTTATTTAGCAGATAGTACTTTTAAAACTCATTCTATTCCTCAAATTTGTTGCCATTTCACAGCAAGTTTTCCTTGTGACAGATGTGATAGACCTGATCTTTGCTTGACTGAATGATTCTTAAAATTGTCTTTGCAGGGTGTGGCACTGCAACAGGAGGAGCTGAAGATGAAGGTGAGGCTGAAGCTGGCTGGATTGAAGGTGCTGCCATCCTGCTGTCTGTTATCTGTGTTGTACTTGTCACTGCCTTTAATGACTGGAGCAAGGAGAAGCAGTTTCGTGGGCTTCAAAGTCGTATTGAGCAGGAACAGAAATTTACTGTTGTCCGAGGTGGGCAGGTGATCCAAATCCCAGTGGCAGAGATAGTAGTTGGTGACATTGCACAGGTGAAATATGGTAAGTTTTCTCAACTATATGACTACTTTTTTTTTCAAGTTTATATATTCCTCTTCCCCCTTTCTAGCAGAATAAAGTGTATTTGGGACTCATTCATTGGAACTAATTGAAAAGATAGAACAGTCTTTCCATAGTGTGACAGTAATAACACTGCTGGGGCAAAAGAATAACTCAGCCCAAGAAACTTACAATAAAACTGCACTTGGGAATTCTATTTTTGCAATCTTCACTTTCTTTCCCTGACAAGGCCAAAAACTGTTAATGCAGTGTTAATTTTCTTTCATGGAGGATTAGAGTATTTGGATTTATTTTTTTATTATGTCTAATTATGAATATGAGAAAGTATTTTTAAACACTTTGTTAAGGAATTGTGCCTGTGTGCACACTTGGTAGGCCACTCCAAAACTATGCATCCTGTAATTCTTCCCAGACTGAGTATTGCTAGTGGGCAGGTGCCTTACAATTATATACTGGATGGACCTCCCCTGCTGCCATCAGGCCTCTCCTGGGCTTAACTGCAGGCTTCCTGGGAGAGGAAAGGTGTGGGGCTTCTTGACTGTCTGTTAGCCACTGTTTATTCTTACAAAGTCTGGCTGAGAAACCCTATTGTCAAAAAGACTGTTCCCCTCACTCTGATTATTATGCTCATCATATGTGAAGTGTGATGCACTCTGTGATGCACTCTTATTCTCAGGATAGAGTTAAGCTACAAGTATTTGCCAAATAAAGGCCTTTTCCTATGGCACTGCAGTAATATGGCTAACATGGACCATTATGGTTTTTCTTCTTTCACCTTTGCTTTCATTTTACAATTTAATAAAATTATGGTTTCTTGTAATTGTATAGAAAAAAATATGTAATTATAAAAACACTAAAAAAACTGTGGTTTTCCATTACCATGTTCTTACTGAAAGGTGATCTCCTACCTGCTGATGGGATATTTATTCAAGGAAATGATCTTAAAATTGATGAAAGTTCTTTGACTGGGGAGTCAGACCAGGTCCGCAAATCTGTTGACAAAGATCCAATGCTACTGTCAGGTAAATTTTCTTCAGTTCATGCTGAGTTTATCTTTTATGCACTGCTTTGTTCATGTTTGGTTTTGATTTGTTTTTTTCACACCATCAAGGTTTGGTAACCTAGATACAGCTGATCTTTTGAACACAGACACTGACCCTGCCTGTTTTTGATGAGAGACATTCTATTGCTTTTTGATTGCATGCAATTATTTCTGATTGTGGCATTTATTTTATGAATTGAGAAAATAATGAACATTTTTAGATGAAAAATAAAGAAAGCACTATCCTGGGAAGTAAAAATTGTTTCAATTCACTGTATACCTGCTTCAATTTTACCATTATGTTTTAAAGCCTCTTGAAATGCTTTTTTTATATTTATGTTAGAAATAATAGGAAAAAAAAAACATAATTGTGCTTAGAAAAAAAAATGAATACACTAAAATGTTCACATTTATGGTCCATGACAGTTGAGGTTTGTTCACGTTTTTCATAATATTTGCATACTGTAATCCAAATAAATCAGTTAAATAAAGTAGTTTTGTTTTTTAATTCTAAATGGATCAGTTGCTAATAGATTTCAGCTGGAATGTGATTACAAAAGAACTGTCTGCTGGTTTCATGATAATCAATATATTGGAATCTGAAATAATATTTTCAAGTACATTTGAAGTCATTATTTATGAGAAGACTTCTCTTTCCCACCTGGTTAATGTACTCTCACAAATTCCTGAATGGAATGACATCTTTTTGGATACCCATAGAATTCACTTACTGTGGAAAAAACATGATGGTATTGCTCTGAGAGGCATGAAGGGAAGGAAGAGAAAGGGAAAGTAGTTGAGTTCGGAGAAAATATTTTTTTTCCTGCTTCCAAAAGCTTTTGCTAGGAAGATAGAAGTTTGTTTTTGTGGTTTTATGGCAAAGTTAGAATGTGTACTCTATATAAAATTTCCTACTCTACTGTAATTACAAAAATGCTGAAGAATTAATGTGATATTTTAACAACAGCTACAGAAACCTTTGTTCCATACTTCTACTAATGAAATTATACTCATGCTCTGTTAGAAAATCCTTGAACTCTATTTGCTTATGAGTAGATTTGATTACATGAGATTCTGGCATGCAAAATACCACCTTCTTCTGAGATGTAATTCAAGTTTTAATATCAATGGTACTGGGACTGATATGTGGTCTGGAAATAGCTAAGAAATCAAAAAAGTGGAAGGCTGTCGTGTCACATTTATTTCACAATGAGTTTAAAAATTGAATTCCTGCTGGATGTTAGCACAGTCCCATATTTTAATAAAAAAGAAAATCAAATAAACAAAGAGACAAAAACTTCTGGAAAAAGACCTCAGTTTTTCCTCTTGTCTTTGCTCTTGAGGGCATCGGTGAGCTCACTCCAGCTAGGCTTTTTAATTTAGAAAAAGATGACTGGGCTGATGCTTTCCACTGTTGTCTGTCAGTCATCTGTTGGAAATGAAAAGAGTTCAGGTTTGACATGTGAACAGCTGAAGGAAGGTACCATTTGAGTGGCAGCCATAGTTTGTTTCTGTGAGTCTAAATTTGGTGACACATCAACACTGTTTCAGGAAGCCTTGTTTTCACTGCTGGCACCTGAAACAAGATTTTTAATATTCTATTGGTTTCAATGACATAATTAAACTAAATGAGTTTCTGTGCTTAATGGTCTGTTTAATATCCAGATAGTCATTTACTATACTTGGGAAACAATTCTAAAAGTGCAAGTGCTGACTAAACCAGATGGTTCATTTCCATCTGTATACAGCTACATTTGGTACCACCTGGTAAGACAGAAATAGCATTATAAACACTAATACACCTGAAAGCAATCCACCGTACTTATGTCTGAAACATTTTCCTCCTTTTAGGTCTCTAATGGAGATTTGCACGCATAGTGTAGCCTAAGTAACTGTATCAACAGTCTTCAGCATTAACAAGGCTGTGATAACATTAAGTTTTTTTCACAGTGAGCATGGCTGTGTATCAAGCAAAAGATGAACACTGTCTGACGCGCAACTGCTTTGATTCAAATTGATACACCCTTCAAGTCTGAAATTCAGAGACATCCATGGTTCTTATAAACAGAAGTTCTTAATATGAGTCTGGCCTCAGCACTGCACACAGTGAATTATTTCAGAGTACCACGTGAGAATAGCTGACATAAAAAACTAGAAGGCTGATTGGTTAAAGCTCCATTGCAGTTATTTAGATGAATTTGATGAAGGTATGAAAGAGTTACAGGGAGGAGCTGACCCATTGTAGTTCTCACTGAAATGAGACTGACAACTTTACGTTACCCTAAGTTTCAGCACTGCATCCTTATATCTAAAAGTTCCTTGTTTCTTTGAAACAAAGAGAAGTCAGCTTATTCAGGAACAAATAAATAAAGAAATCTCTTTGTCACGGTTCTTTGTTAGGGTATGGAAATAGAAAGGAATCTTGATTAAGGAATCGGGTCAGTTATTGCCTGGAGAAAAATGGTTCTGATTCTGTCTTAATTCTTTGCCAGCAAATATTTAAAGCTACGCTTCTGCTTTGCGAAGCAGAAGTTTTCATAACACAGCATCTAACTTGAAACGGATTATTTGGATATGCTGAGATTACATGCAGATGAGTTTTTGCAGTAAACCTTTTTTTTTTGTAGAGAATACTGTGGTGGTTGTTTCACTTTGTTACTAACTTCAGTCACCTCTTAATAATTTCAGCAACTAGTGGTTTAGACATGCAGATAGAGAACTTTCGGTCATCATGAGCTTCTTGGAACTAAGCACCAGAGTGGCATGCTCTTCTTTCCTTATTTTTGAACCTGGTTTCTAACCCATGTCATTAGTACTGTTAGATTGGAGGGTTTCTGAGCAGTCATGTATTTAACTGCATTTTTATCTGAAAATGTACGTGCTGCAATGCCCCTTCCTTAACTGTGAAACCTAATTATCTCTTTTCTCATATAAGTTTTCTCCTTCATTTTCTATCTATATTCAGTGTTTCTCAACTAAAATGTATTGTATTAATATTGAAAAACTGAAGGAAGAATTCCATGTAATTGTTCCATGTGAAGTTGATACATGTTTAGTGAACAGAGTAAGTGAAAAACATTCATTCATTGCAGAATTCTGCTCATGTTTCAGCAGCTGATCAATTTCGTAGAGCCCGCATCTCCCTTCAAGCTAATGTGAATGAATTATAGCACCACTTAAATAACAAGGTAGCCAGACTTAGATGAAAGGAGATTCAGCTCTTCTGTTTAGCTGAGGTACTAAATAAATCTGCAACGACACTAACAAACTCTAGTCTTCTGGTCAATTAGTATTTAGTACATGCTTTTTTTATGTGCCTCGACTTTTTGAATTATGTTTACAAGAATAAGAAGAGGTTTGCAAGTTTAAGCAAAGCATTTTTAGCCTAAGATGTTTAGAGTTTTCCAGCTGTGCATCTGTAAGCTTGGACATTGGTGGTGGGTACCAGTTTTCTCAATGAAGCTGTTTTTCATGCCCAAGCTGTGTTGTTTTTTTTTTGTATTCATGCACCTTTGTAATCCAGTATACAAGATTCCTTCAAAACATACATATACAAAAGCAAGTAAAAGATACTTTTAATGATGACCTTCCGGGAGGTTCTTAAGCTGTAAGTAAACATTCAGGCAATTTTGTCTTGCTTGAACCTGTACAACCAAGCCTATCCTAACTCAAGAATATTTACTGTTCCTTTGACTTAAGTATGACTTGGGTTTGGTTGTTTGGCTGACTGTGGTTTTGCTCTGCCTTGTGAAAGGGGCAAACTGTACAGTAAAACCATGGAAACATTTTTCAACACACTAAGATGTATATTTTTTTAATTAGATCTGATCAGTAATGGCTTTGTTACTGCTTTTCTTACTTCTGCTGAATTTTTCTTAATGTTGTGATATTTATGCTCTTAAAATAGGCTTAATGTGGACAGGTGTGCTCTCTATTCTGTGTTTCCGCTTTAATTATTTAGAAAAAGAGATTTTGATGACAAATATATAGTTGGATTACTTAGCATGTTGAGGACAACAAATGGATGAGCAGTAATAAAAAATGGATTTTAAGAAAAGGTTATGAGGAGATAATATATATTTTAATATTTATCTATTTAATGAAAAATATTCCTTTTTTCAGTTTCTCAGATTGCTCAGTGAAAGAAAGCTATGTTGATGAGGCTCCTTCCCATAAAATGCTTTTTCAAGAAAAGGATGTAGAACAAATCTTTCCATGTCCATTTAGGCTGATTAGATGTGAATCACCAGTAAGATTCTCCATGAGAAATCAGTAATGTTCTGTAATTGCTCAGTCAGCAGATGCATCACTCAGCTGGTTAAAATCCATTTTGTGGTAGTTTACAATAAGCCTGTTTGAGAATTCTTCTCTGTCTCACTATGGTTTCAGGCTTTTTTTTTTTTTAATACTTTTTAGTAATTGGCTTTAAGTGCATGTCATGACAGTACATCATTTTGACTTCCAAGCTTTTTTTTTTTTTTAATACCCAGTGTTGTAGGTCTTTCCCAAGATGCTAGATCAAAATACTCATGACTGTTTTAGGCAGTTTTAGTTTGCTTATGTCCCCACAACTCATAACTCATAGCAGAAGTTTTCTAAGAGGCTCCTAACATTTGCTTGAGTAAAACCTGTAGATTAGCACTTTCAGTACAATTAAATATGCATTGTCTCTTGAAAGGGATGCAATAACATATTTAATGGTTCTTATATATATGTACACCTACGAGTGTGTGTATTAAAATATGTGTGTATGTAAATATGTGTGTACATAAACATATATATAAAATGCTCATATTCCATAATTTCAGGTACTCACGTCATGGAAGGCTCTGGACGAATGCTTGTAACTGCTGTGGGTGTGAATTCTCAGACGGGCATCATCTTTACTCTGTTAGGTGCTGGAGGAGAAGAAGAAGAAAAGAAAGACAAAAAAGGTAGATTTCTCAACACATACAAATGTTCTTAGTAAGAAAGCTTTTTTGTTTTTTTTTTTAATAGCCAGAAATCTGCTCAATAACCAACAATAAATAAACCAACAAATCAGTCAAAGAAAAAAGTCCCACCAACAAAAAACAAAAAAGATTCTACAAACTTTTTTGTACCCATTTTTGTCATTGCATGTCACATGGAAAAACAGCAAAAGCCGTTACCCAATAACATGCATTGGATAACAACATGTTTTTCCATTGTGAAATTGCAGACTCTCAGTATATAATTAAATGCAAGGGAATACATGGGCATACTCCCACTGTCATATCTTTTTACATAAATCAATAGTCACCTAAAATTTGCAAAGGTTTTGCTCTCTTGCATTTGCATCTATGGAAGGGGCAACTTCAGTATCTGCTTGAATGTAACAACTGCCTGCCCTGAGGTCCTTTGTTTATTTTGTTTTGCTCAAGACACTGATAATTCTCCAATGTTTCACCGTGTATAGCGTAGTGAAAGAGAAATCTGAGATAGCAAAGTAATGCAATGCTCAGTGCTCGTCACTTATTTCCTGGAGACAGAGATTCTTGCAGAGATGTGTAAGATCTTTCTAAGCAGACACTTAATCCAACTGCATACAGCTGCAATACCAAGAACATTCCTCCTCATTTTGTAGTGTTACTAGCAGATTTGTGCTGGTGCAGGAGAGTATCTAGACAAAGGTGTTTGCTGATTGAGCCCCAACGTAGGTATATAAACCTGCCATTCAGTGAAATCCTACCAGTCCTAACAATTTGCTTCAGTCTCATGGGGGTGTATGTTTTTATTGTTATTAACGTTTTGTAAAAATCATCATACAGGTGTGAAACAGGAGGATGGAAATCAGCTTCCAGGTAGAGTAAGCATTCTGCCACATCAGATGAGGCTTTTAGCCAGCAAGCTTTGGTGCAAATCAGGGTTGAATGAATGATCAAAATAACTGTCTTTTAATTGGTCCAGTTAAATTAAAGAACAATTTCAAATCAACAGGATTGTTCATGGCAAACGCTTATGTGTGCACGCATTATTGGTGTTGCAAAACTTAATGTTAAGCTTGAATACTCAGTTAATCTCCACAAGTAAATTACTGTTTATGAAATGCTGAAATGCGTGATTTGCTATAAGCAGTTCGTGCTGTGCCGGTTAGTATGAGTATCCAAATGGAATAAAAAATAAGCATGAGTAACCAAAACAGTGTTGTTATCATCAGTCATCATTTGCAATCGAAATTTTCAACTTTCAAATTTCAAACTGCTTACACAGGATGTGCTTTCAAATCCCGTATGCTGTTCATTTTCTTCTCTCAACTTACCATTTGTAAATTAAAACGATTTTTCTTGAGCGACAAACCGGTACAGCATGAAACAGTCATTATGTTTCGTTCAAGATTCCTGGCCTGGTCTCATCAGAGGACTTGTGTGTGGTTGGTTAAAAAGTGGCCAACAGAAACAAGTAGAACTTTATTATTTACAGAGATTCATCTTCTGTACTCTAGTAGAAAGTCCATAGTAAAATAATAGGAAGGAATCACTTTCCCATCCATGTGTTGCTTGTGCAGTTTCTCTAATATGGAGATAATTGCTGAAAACAAAATGAGGACTTCATGTTCTGTTACTTTTTTCATTTTACCTCAAAACTGGCAATTACAGAATGCCTATCATTTGAATTTAAAACGTTATTCTCCACGAAGCTGTATTTTCCAAGAACCTTTATTTCTTCTACATTTCTGCATATAGTATGGAAAACTTAGTATTTCTGCTCAAATCAGTGTATATTTTTACTAGGTGATGATAGGACAAGGATTGGGCCAGCCCATGTGAAACTAGGCTGTGCCAGCAGTAATGTACTGAAGCATGCAGTGTTACATCAAATACAAGATCTGTCATGTTGCATATACTATGTAGTATGCTGCATGTTTTAAAAATCCTGATGCATCCCGTAAGTTCATTTACTCAAGGGAAATGTTTCAACCATTTTTAATACCTTCAGATCTTTTATAGATTAAGTAAAAAATTCACATTAAGGACCATACATAGTGTTATGTGTAGTCAGTTCTCACCAACTGTCAAGCTTGTGAAATGTCCTCCTTGTTTATTTAGTAATTATTGTTCTTTTATGTATGAGTTTTTTCTTTTCTGTATTGATGTTTTGCTTTTGTCAATTAAGTTGATTAATTTAAAACATTGATTTTGGAGAAAACAAAGCCACAGTATTTCATAAATGTTTTTGCTTTTGTCATGTGCATTTGTTATTATTATTTATTGTTTTTTTTTTGTTGTTTTTTGTTGTTTGTTTTTATCCATTATTATTCAGTAGATTCTTCCCATCCCTCCTCCCACCCTCCTTCAGCTACAGATGGTGCAGCAAGTGCAAATGCCACTGATAATGCAAATGCCAGCTTAGTCAATGGTACGTCAAGAACACCTAGCTTGTTTTATTTGATAGATCTCTCTCCCAACTATATAAGATTCCCTCTTTCCTCTATGAACTGCACAGTTGTTTTATGTGTGTCATTACCCTCTGAATGCTCCTATTCCATAAACTCTACAGTAGCTTATAAGAGATGCCACAAAGATGCTATGAATGAATTATTTCATTCACCTGGAATTAGGCATGGAAGTTGAACAAATAGGAACTGTGATCTCTTTGCTGTTGATTAAAATTGCATTTAAAATCTTCAGTTTAACAAAGACTAGTTTCAAAACTCCTGAGTTGCCTGTACATAAAGTTTCATTGTAAAGCTCGTTACGCAGTGATCAGCACAGAGCTGAAGAACACCATGATGAAGGGACTGTGTCATCTTTTCTTCTGATGTGGCACTCTCATAAGTGTTCATAAAGTCCTCACTTAGTTTTGAGAAATAATGTTGGGGTCAGGAAGCTGGCTCAATTTCAAGTTGCAGTGTTTTCATTTAAAAAATTGCTGTTGTCAGCATCTTTTCGAGAAGAGGCTGACTGAAATGGCATTGTGTGGGTATTTGTGCATGCTCTTAGTCTGTGACTATGAGCCAGTCTGCACTGATTAAATGTATACATATGTAGTTCAATTTTGACTGTCTCTTACTACAGCTTCTTGACCCCATTTGTAGCATGCAGGTGTTTCAGTCTTTTCTAATACTTTAATTGCAGTATTAAATGGAATGGGTCAGTTAGTCTAGAACACTAGTCTTAGAACAGCTGTATTTTTTCTGTTCATAAAGTACGTTTAGTCTTTACTAAACTAAAGAGCCCTTTCCCTCTGGTAGAGCATCATCTACACTGACAAGAGCCATTTTATTTTTTTGTCATGTTCATAACTGAAATTTTTCCTTTATAGGTCAGTAGTTGTTGCATTATGCATGTAAAGCTAGTTTCTGACATAGCAAGTTCTGAAGAGTTAGTAAGATAAACTAGTGGGATAACTTGACAAAATCAGAAAAGATATTAAACCTGCCTACAAGTCCCATCCCTCTCTTATCCCTAAACCATCCTAGTTCCAACATCCCAATTTCAGGTTTCTTAGAGACTAAGAACCAGGAAATTAATGAGGACTCTCTCATTTTCCTTTATTTTTAATTCACGCACACTTTTTTTGTGTGCAAAACAAATACACCCACAGAACCAAGTCTTACCAGATTACCTCCTTCTGTCTCCCTGGAGACTGCAGAATTATATTTAGTCTCAGGCCTGCAGTGGCTGAGCAGTAAGTTAAGCATTTGCCTAAGTGTTTTGCTGGAAAACCATTGCTCACTAAGCTGAAGAAATTAATCTTGATTTATTCTAACCTAGTCTCTCCGTTAGCACAATTTAATTGCCTGGCAAATATCTTTTGCATTTGATCTTAATGTCTGAACTTAATACTGAAATTGAGTGTCAAAGGATATTAAATCAGTGCGTTAAAGCAAGTATCTATGGGACTTTCTATCTTCTCTCCCATTAGAAACAATAGTTACTATCCCTGTTTATCTTAAAACTATCGTTAGACAAAGAAACTCAGTGCTTTTCAGTGGTAAGTGTTGAAGTCAGTAATTCAGCAGAGTATGTTTCTGCTTTTAACTTTTCTAACATGAGGCAGTTGGATTAATTCTGCAGAACTTTGATCAATATGAGAGAAGAAACTTTCTATAAATCAACTTTTCTGATAGTATGTTCAGAAGAGAGCTGAGACTGCAAACACAGTTGAATCTGAGTGCTTTGAAATTCCCTGGGAAATTGCCCTAGTCTGGTTTCTGTTAATATTATGCATTTTTCTATTCAGCAGAGTTAGAGAACACTTAAGAGGTACATTGGTAGCTCTGAAATAAAAGCCTCCTATTTGTTTCCATGGAAACTACAAAAGATACAAAGTGCATACAATTACTAGTTGATGGAGCAAATTCTCAGTTACAAAACACTATTTTTCAGCTCAGTGACCACCATTAGCTCAGCATTTTCACCAGCGATGGTCAGCATGTCTGCATGCCGTGCCATGCTCATAAAAATCTACACCAGCCAAGATGACGCACTGTTCCTGTCCCCACTGCTGACACATACCACCCACCACCTAGCTGTGCTCACATTCACTGCTTGGCCTCCATGAATGTTTATCAAGTATGAGTGAATGTCAAAGGGTGCAATTTTTCCACATGGAAGAATTCAGTTCCACTCCTTTGCTTTATAAGTACTTCATGTCAGACACCATGCTGTCAGGCTGCCTCTCTGCTGCCATCTGTTGCACAGCTACAAAATGTAATAGAAGATAGGTGGGAAGGTTCAACTTCTTCTGCCATCCCACCAACATCTGCCTCTAACATCATGGGCCAACATAATAAAATAGGAGGCATTACTTTCAGAGCAGCCCTCACAGCTGTGTTTCTGCAGGGTTTGGAGAGAAAGGTTTGGAGAGAAAGGAAAGAATTAAATTCTAACAGAAGAATATCAACTTCTTGTAACCATTTTTTCCAGCTTAGATTAAACTAAACTTTCAATAATGTCTAAGGATTTTCCCTGAGGTATAACTGGAAATGAACAGTTTTACCCAACAGCTTATACCTCTGTGTAGAACACACCTCCAAGGAACAAAAAAAATCATATACCTGAATAAGTACTTAGCACCGGAAATGCCATTACTTGTTAGTTGAAAATCAACTTGTCACAATTTAAAATAAATTGGTTTATATCCTACTTACAAATACACAGTTGGCCCAGAAAAAATGCTTTTTAAGTGCAGTCCCTGAACTTACAGTGATGAAGCTGTATAGGCTTCTGACATGTGCTAATGTTGGCCTCCTGCTGTAGTGAAGGAACTGCTACACATTCTGTAGAGTTCGGGCACTTGAAATAAAAATGTATAATTGTTAGTTAGTCTTATTAGTTAATGTATAAATATGCATATATCCACAAAATATACTCAGTTCTCAAAAGGATACCGATTTACAGAAAGGTCACAATTCATGAAAATTCCTTGGAATTTATAGTATTGCGTTTAGAAAATATAAAATATGTATTTTTTTAAATATGGGAAGCAGCAACCTCAGTTTGTTTATTGCATGGTTATCCCAAATTAGATTCGATTGGAGAAAGCAGTGTTGATCACTGGCTGCTTTATTCCTAGATCCCTCTGCATAAAAGTATCTAAAATATCCAACTTGAGACAATGAGATCAGGTTTATTCCTTTGTAGTTAATCTCATTGGCTCATATCACACTTCATGAAAGAATTCCTAATCTTTCACTTGACATGTTTGACGTCACATTTCCCCCTATATATAGATCTGCAATGCACATCTGTTCTTATGAGTTGCATAATATAACTGAGTTGGCATTAGGAGAGCTGTAGCTCATTTCTGTTGCACGAGGAGACATTTTGGAAAATCAGTAGGGTAGCTTCTTTTTTCACTCCACCACAGCACAGCAGAATAAAACTAGATTAGCTTCTCTGGGTGTTTTCAAGCAGTTCCTCCAATGAACAAGTAACTTCTAATGCCAGCAGTAGGAGTTTATTACTTTGTCTCACTGATTTCTCCTTTCTTAAGGGCTGGAGAAGTGAAAGAGGAGTTTTTCTTTGCTGAGGTTACTGTTTTTAGAGTAAGAACTCTGGCAGTAATAACATCATGGGTATGTTCCAAGTAAAGAGATGGAAATGTTCATGAGGTAGAGGCAAAATGCAAAAAACATTCTATATTTAAATGCGAAGCCTTTAACAGAATACAAATCTTAAGAGGCTCTGTAAGTCTTTTCTCAACATCCTGATTTTTCATCTTTGCATGGAAAATAAACTCTGAGTAATTGTCCCAGATTTCAGGGCACACTGTCCCCAAAGAGGGAAATCTTCTTTTTGTAAATAATGCACCCAGGTCAGGTAATATCTCTAGTCCTAACACAAGCTGAAAGGAGAAGGATTTCTCATCAGTACTGATTCTGTCACATTAATTTCTTACTTTCTTCTTAAGATTTGTCAACTGCAGACTTAGGATTCAATGAATTACAGGGAATGCTTGGAACCAAACCACTTATTTCCCTTTACCCTATTATTTTCTTTACCTAATTCTTCGCTGATCTATCTAAATAATTTGAATTCAGCTAGTTTTAATAACTCACTTTACTCCCCATAGCAGTCCCTGAAATATTAACTGAAGTGCAGCACAGTAGCTACAGAGGTTTAGAGTATTTTTCTTTAATAGGTGTGTTTACATTGTTGGTTACGAATGACCATTTTTGTGTCTTTGTATTTTCAGGTAGCCAGGATAGATGCATTGTTAGTGTAATCCATTATGATAATGATTTCACCTCTATTAAACGGCAAATATAGACAATAGCAAAATACTGATTCACATAGAAAACAGTATTTGTATTTTTTTAGTTGAAGAATCTTTAATTGTACTGCTTGAATTATTTGAATTGCATTCAGAAAAATGAATAATAAAGCAGAGCACAGAGCAGGAAAAACACAGACAGATTTAGAATTCAGCCACACGCTGCGGGTGCTTTTTGTTTGTTAGGTTTTTTTATACTGCAGTTTTCAGATGAACCAACAAATTTTTGTTGTATTTCAAAATGAAAACAAACTTTTTCTTGCTCATAGTCATAGGATCATGTCTTATGACAAGATGTAAGTCTTTGGGAGAAGGGTATACTTTGTTTTTTAAAATCATATTTCATCCAAGCTGAGAACGGAGATAAAAACAGGCATGCTAAACAGCATTCTTCAGTAATCCTAGTGAATACTTAGAGCATTGCATTTAGCAAAACATCCTTTCCTTTACTATCATTCTACACTTTGCAATTTCTCAGTGATTGCAGCCTCATGCTACTAAGTATGAAGTGAAATGTCACAGTAATACATTTTCAGCTTTTTCAGCCATTTTTGCTCTTTTTAGGAGTTGAGTTTTAATGATTTCCCAATTACTGAAAATGCAAACATGTAAGAAATGCATCTTAGCCTTTCAGATTTGCTACTGTGCTTTCACATCATAGCGTGAAAAGATTAATACATGCTGAAGCATAATTTCTGCTGCTTTATTATGCATGCTGGTATCAGCTCTGTAATCACAAGGAGGCAGAAGAGCAGAACTTAGCTGCTATATTATTATTGTTTTTTTAACAAACTCTTATGATACTTTTTTTAGCAGAATGTGTCAAAATCCCATGAAGATATTTTGACTATTGTTTTTCCTTAGTATTATTTTTCTATTTAGAATGATAACTAACTACAACGTGATGATGCCATCCATTCAGGACATTGGTAGTTTATTCCATGAGATTAATTTTTTTTATCACTGTGAAAGTTTCACAGTGTACCTCAACAAGTTTTAAATACTCTATGTTTAACAGTTATTCTGAATAGCAGAATTTCCTGTGCTCTAACTGGTACTGTGCCATTTTTATTTCAAAGGCAATTTGATATGTTGTATTACAAATGATGGGTTTGGTATGGCAAAACTAAATGTAGCTAAATCATGACACTGGAAATTATGAATATATTTTACATCTTTGTTTAGAATAGATCAGGAAATAGGATCATCACCTGACGTTCATATTTACAGGAGCAACTTGCTAAATATCATGGCAAAAATAAGAAAGATGTCATTTTACAGTTTAATATATTTGTATTTATTAACAGCTTACTTATTTGTTGTCTTAATTTGCCAAAATAATTCATTTAATTTTGGTGGATGTTAATTAAGTCACGCTATGTACTGGTGTTTGCCAATTTTTTACCTGTGGTTTTACTGAGTTGTAGATGTCTGAGATTTCAGTTCAGGAGTATTATTAAACTTCTGCTTTGTACTGGATTCTTTTTATTAGTTTCATCTTCATTAATTACACAATTTGTTTGTAAAAAGTAATGATATTTAGTATTTTCTGTTATACCATTGAACTTGACTTGCAGATGCTTAATGTATCCACCTTATGTCATCCATGCTTCTAAGTAAACATATAACAAAGGCTACTGATCATAAATTAGTATCTGTAACACTGTCATTAACTTTGTCTGCCCTTTTTATTTTAATTTCCATTTTCATGTTGTCTTGGGTGAAGATTGTTTACTGTCTGTTGTCTGTTGAAATTTTTCATCATATAGGCAAAATGCAGGATGGGAATATGGAGAACAGCCAGAACAAAGGTAATCTTCTTTCCTATTAAGAAGGTTGTGGATGTCATGTTTAGCATGTAGTTAGATGCTGTTGAAAAATAAAATGAAAATCTGTGGTTTCTGCACAAGTGTACAAATGGCCCTACCAAAGAAATTGTAATTTATAGAATTTTGATGTATCAGATTCTGAGGAGAGGAAGATATCATTATATAAGATGCTTTCATGTCTCAAAGCTTGTTTGAATTCATTTTTGTGTGCAAATTATTTATGCTATGTATCATTAGTGAGTTTCCAACCCTCTTTTTGGTATGTCTTGTTGACTTTGGTGTTTAATGGTGTTATATACACATTTTTATTTGTGGGGAGAAGATAAAATAATAGCAAAAGGAAATGTAATGCCTTGGGTTATTCAGCAGTGTAAAAGTGTGCTATATTGATGAGGAAGATTAAGAACATTAGGTGTTTCTTATTTACTGTACGATCTCAGGAAGACATGGAAGTAAATATTTTACCTCTGAAGCAAAGCTATAGTTCCATTTTTATTAGACAGGAGACACCAGATATCGTGATTTCTTTAGATTATGCTAAATAAGGAATTTAAACTACACCATTTTATTCCTTCTGGAAAATTCTAAACTTAGCAAAGTTAATGGATCAAAAACAGAGCAGATGAACTCAGTTGTTAGTTGTACAGAGGTATTAAATAAAGTCATACTAAATGTGTGTGGTTTAAGGTTCGACAGACCAGTTACATTTCCAGGTCAAATAAGCAAAATTTTCTAAAACCTGTTCATGAATGCCAAACCAGAGCAGATCTGTTTCATCTCATTCTGTTTAATTTGCTTTCCTTTCTGTACCGGACATATACACATATATAAATTATGGAGTGTCACTGCTTTTAAAAAGCATCTATTTCTTTCTGATACTAAATTGAAGTTTCCTTGTATCAGCATTAGCATTCTTTCAAGAAAGGATGCTTTAGCCTTCAAAGTTATAGTTTTGTTTTTTACCAAAGAATGACGATGGTATTGCTGTCTGACTTGAAGGTCAGATCAGGCGATCTGATAATGAATGCTAAGGAAACTTTTATTTAAGTTTGGTATTATTCTAGAATAGTGGTTCACAAATTACGGTCCACTGGTCATTGAGATGCCCATGAAGTTGAGCAGCAGGTGTATGGATCATCCCTGCAACCACACTGCCTTTAAAATGGTTTAATTAACACTAAGATTATAAGTCTGCATTGTAGTCTATGAGATATACCAAAATTTAGAAAATTATAGACAGTCAACTTGCCAAAATATTTGAGATCTGCTATTCTAGGAAATCCTGCAGTGCTGATGTACTGTTTCTTGCCAAGTGTTGCAAAACATTAAGTGATATATATGTGTATGATACAGAATATTGTTGGTGGTAAACAAACAAACCAACCCAGAATTAGAGGTTTTCATGGTACTTGACAAATGGTGCATTACATACATATTCCCTTGTGTGAAGTGCATGTGGGTAAACTTGTACATTTGTGTCCCTCTGGAACCCCACTGGGTCCTCACCTGGGCATCTGTCTGCTGTGGGAGCAGAGGGTAATCCTGTGCAAAGTTATATTCATCAGCTCCAACGAGTGCTGCTAGTTTAATTCAGTGTCAACACTACAAGAAAAAGAATGGAAGACAGTTCTGAAGTAACAGTTTTGTTCTGCGTTATTAGCCAAGCAGCAAGATGGGGCTGCTGCCATGGAGATGCAGCCACTGAAGAGTGCCGAGGGGGGAGAAGGAGATGACAAAGACAAGAAGAAATCCAACATGCACAAGAAGGAAAAATCTGTCCTACAGGGAAAGCTGACCAAGCTGGCAGTCCAGATAGGCAAAGCAGGTATGATGGGATGACTGAATAGCAGAATATTATTACTAAGCACTAAGAGTAAGTACTAAACAAATAACTCTTAACAGAGTAGTGCTTTATTAGTGCAACATTTAAGATTGGGCTGTCATAGTATGGTTCTGAAGATAGTAGGAGGTACTGAAGATCTTTCATTTTCTAAAGCCCAGTTTTTACAATCAAGAAACAGAAAGCTTTGGGCAACTTGGATTGTAATGAATATATGAAGCAAAATGAAATGTAGCTTAGTTGATATTCCCAAATGCAGTAATTACATTATATTAATTTCCTCTTCCCTTCCAAGTACATAGTTGTAGAATCTCTAATATAATCTGAAAATGTCACTCTCACAGTATTTCCCACTTATGGATTCTGAAATTATTCTATTTATTATCTCGTGACTTCCATGTTCACACCTTCTATGCAAATATGATTTATCTGTTGGCTATTCTGTCCAATACTACCTTATCCATGCTGTTAAAAGTGGCACTTCTCCAACAGTGCAGGTAGAAAGTTTAGATCTTTCAAAATGATGTAATGCTTGCTAACTATTTTTTTCTAGTGGTATTAAAGAGGTCTCAGACTCTACCCAGATACATGGCTGTGCTCCTACAGCAGATTCCTATCTTCACTTCCATTGAAGACCCTTATCCTTCTTTACCAGTCTGATTTTTATTCCTCCTATTCCTTCTAAATCCTTTTTAGTTTATTGCACTTTTTTTGATGGCAGAAAACCATGACACCACTTCTGTCTTTTTTTCCTGGACAGTATGTGGCTCGTAATTTACAATTATCTCTCTTTAGTATTCACTTTCATGGTTTGCCCACTTTCATATTCCTCAGGCTTCTCTTGTTTTGTTGCTGTTTAGATAGCAATACACACTGATATGAAACCTCATAATTTCTTGTGTTTATTAACTTCTTAAATTACATATTTTTCAACAGTAAGTACTTTCTCTACATCTCTTTTGTAATTTTCAAGTAATTGTATACATCTTTCTAACAGTAATGTGGCAAGTAATATGAATTAAATTAATTACGATCTCTTTAGTCTTATTTTTCCTTCTACATCAGGCAATCTATGGGAATGTCTTGAGTTGTCATAAAGATTTCCCTATATAATGTTTTAGTGGATTTTTCTTTATCCTCTGATATTAAGTGGTGGTCTCCCTGAGTCATCAAAATCCTGTCAACCTTAAAATCCTTTTATTTATTTTTTTATTTATTTGTCTGTCTGTCACTTCAGTCAAGACATGGAATTCACTGTATCACCCTTTTTTTCCATGATCTCATTAGGGAGAAATTAATTTACTCTGAAAAACAGGCTTACCCTCTTCATCAGTGAATGTCAAAGAGTAATAACAACAAGGTTAAGTAGGTGTTCCAAAGGAAACCAGTTTTTGTTTGTCACTTTAATCCAGGAGCAAAACTGTGCACGAGAAATGCTGTCTTACCACAGTCTGTATGAGAGCACATTTGTGCCCAGCCAGGATCTTCTGTGACTTCAGTGAAATACTTATTAATTTCTCTTGTGGAATGCTGTCAGTGTTGTATGCCTTTGAGCCTCTCCTTACAGAAATATGCACTATTTGCGTAGATTCCTTTGTAACAAAAACTTTGGGAACACTAGTATTAGTAAAATTTACAAGAAGACCAATTAAATAACTGTTCAGTGGACAATTCTGCACTGTTACTTCATTGTATTCAACTGGATGCCTGTCTGAAATATTCTAGATAACAGCAAACGATAGGAAGAGGCTCCTTTTCTTAAGCCTCTTAAGGTAAACATATTTAAAAAGAAAGATGAGCAATTGATGTTTGAATATGTACAGAATAGTGATGTACTAAACCTGAAAAACTTAGGTTAAACAACAGCACAACTTTAGACTACCTGGTAAGTTTTAAGGGCAGCAATGTGACAGTGCTTAGAAATTACTGTAGCAGCAGCTAGCTGCTCTGTGGAATGGAGTACCTCCCTCTTCATTAGAATGTATGTATATTTCTTGTAAACTTACTATAATAATGGTTTTTGCTGCAAATGTATTATAATAATTTTTTCTTTGATGTTATAAAATTCATCATTATTTGTACTGGTGGCAATGTAAACTCTCATGAAGAGTGAAAATAATTTTACATTAAACTCAAATATAAAGTTCTAATTAAACTCAAATATAAAGTTCTAATTGCACATATTTTTAATTTTTACTTTGTAGTAACTGCATATTTCTATTTACAGGTTTGGTGATGTCTGCCATCACTGTAATCATTTTGGTACTATATTTTGCCATTGACACTTTTGTGGTGAAAAAGAAACAGTGGTTACCTGAGTGCACTCCTGTCTATGTTCAGTATTTTGTTAAATTCTTCATTATTGGTGTTACTGTACTTGTGGTTGCTGTCCCTGAGGGTCTTCCACTTGCTGTCACTATTTCTTTGGCTTATTCTGTAAAGGTAAGAAACATTCAAAATAATTATAGGAGAAAAATAGCTTTCTGTCGAGTTTGCTAGTGTGTTATTCTTCAGCTTTTGTCAGGTTTGATTGAAGTTGGCCTGTAAATTAATGTCATTAAAATGATAATGAGAAATTTCTTTAAAGTATTGCTTTGAAAGTACTTCTGACAAAACAAAAAAATGTGTTTGTATGCTAACTCAAGTCTTCTAACTTCACAGTTTTCAAACAACAGAAATCCCTGCTTAGTTAACAGAGTTACCAGGAATTTATTGAGCGGGGCTTACTTTTAAGAGTAGTGTAGGCTTTTAATATAAGTTTGTCTTCAGACTTGCTTTTGCAATAGTAAAAAGTTTCGACGAGGATTTGAAGTTTTCAGGATTCTTTTTTTGAAGGAAATAGAATTCTTCTTCAATGCAGTTACAGTGGTTTTTAGCCAATGCAAATGATTCTGTCACAAAATCAAAGAATGATGGGCCTTACATAAACATTCTAGCAATCCCAGGTGAAAACTCTGTGATTTGTTTCCATTTAGCAGCTAAATAACGTGAACGTTATGAAGAAATACCTTGATTTACAGGCAGTCAGATCTTACTGGGGAAAAAAAGAGCAGATCTCAGCCACATGATTTTGCCAGTAAGGAGCCTAACTGCCTTAAAAATATTTTTCCATTCTCCTGATGGCCTTCACACAGTGCATGCAGCACATCCATCCCTGTGTAACTGTGGGTGCAGTATCAAACAGTTATACATCTTGGCTTCAGCTGGTGACACTGTGTCCTGTGAGCATAAGGTATTGCTCTGAAAGTTAGGGTCAGGTGATTGGACACAGAGGTTTTTAATATTGAAAAAGTTTGAGTAAGGGCAACTTATAATCCCAGGAAGACTGTCCATCTTGTGAAAAATATGCAGTATGGAATGGTGGTGGATTTTTTAAGTCATTGGTGGTTATTTTAGTTTGATTGGGTTGTAAGGTGTGTAGTCACTCTGTGTGCTGCAGGGTGACACTGGTATTGGAAATGGTATTAAATAAAGGCTAAAAAGTCTGACTAAACATTACAAGGTTAAAATATAGAAATATGAATAGTTTACAGGTTAGCTTCTCAATCATATTCTGTGCATATGCAGTTGTTGAATTACTAGGTAACCTTATTTATGCTACTAAGTATTCCTGATTGATCTCTAGATTTAGGACTTTAGCTGTAAGAAACAAAGCAAACCAAAAGGAAGTGTGTAAAACTGCCCAGTTTCTCATGTTTGCTATAATTATACTGTTTTTAAAATCCTATTGTTTTTAGTATTTCCAGTACTTCAGCTGATCTTTGCTGTTCTACCTGCTCCTTAAAGTATTTATCCATGATAAAAGGATAGAACTATTTCATTTGATAAAAAAAACCAAAACTATTCCAGGGATGGTCAGGGCTTGATTGATTTACACAGTAAATACAGTACTGATTACTGGACACAAAATTCTGACTGAGCTTCTAGTGAACATTTATACTTTTTCCTTTGTATGACTGATGTTTCAGATCTGTCAAAGCAAATCTTGGAGTTACTTTTTTTTTTTTTTTTTCCCCTCAGAAAATGATGAAAGATAACAACCTGGTCCGCCACTTAGATGCCTGTGAAACTATGGGTAATGCTACAGCCATATGCTCTGACAAAACAGGGACACTAACAACCAACCGGATGACAGTCGTCCAAGCCTATATTGGTGATGTGCACTACAAAGAGATCCCTGACCCTGATTCTGTACCTGCTAAGACTCTCGAATTACTGGTTAATGCAATTGCTATCAACAGTGCTTACACTACAAAAATTCTGGTGAGTAGTTTGGTTTTTTTTTTTTTTTTTCCAGTAGTAAAATGAAACATGGTAGTAGAAGGAGTCATAACTTGTGAAAGCATTATTAATTCCTTAACATCCTGCATGAATTGTTAAATGCTGTTGAATTCCTCAAAATGAGAGCAGAGGTTGTGAAAATACTTACGTGGGCTTCTTTTTTTGTGAACAGGGTTGTACTTGTGCATACAAGCCCATGCTATATTTACAATGTTTTACTGCCAACAGATTGGGATGTTCCAACCTGTGTGCTGGTTTCTTTACTCATAAAATGAGTTTTCACTGAGGCTTCCTATCTGTAAAATTACTTTTGTGTGATATCTTCGATTAATTCTTCAGTAAGACAAGTGAGATTGGTTGTATCAGTGAATAGTCCTTATTGTTACATTTTCAAATGAATTATGACTGCAAATGTTTTATTTACTCAGTGAAGGAGGACATAATGGAAAAATCTGGTGGCTTGTGCCATTAGACTTTTCTGTATATGGCTAGAAAGAGACTGAAAACTTTTGCAATCTCAGTAGATTTTTTCTTTGAAAGATCAAACTTAGTATCAGACCAAATATCTTCTTAGCTTGTGAGTTTATGCATTGTCTTTTTTATATATCAATAATGAGCTGAGCTGCATCATATATGTACCTCATAATATTTTAAAAGTAGGGTTTTTTTAAGCACAATCACAAAAAAACAATTGTTGGAATACTGTGAGGCACCCACTGCTTTGTTCTCACTGAAAGCTCTCTGGAAATAGAGCAGGTTTGAGCTACTTTCTACACTGAGAAGACATGAAGCCTTCAGCTGCTCAAATAGGTACTGTTTGTTCCCTCCTTGCAACTGAAATCAGCCCTTAATGAACACAGCTCTTCTGTTGCTCTACAAGGACAAGTAGCTGTAATAGACAACTGAGGTCAGAGCTACTCCTTTTGACTTGAAGTTCAGATACTGTGGAAATGCAAAGCTCACTCAGCTACGTACCATTTTCAGCTGTAAGAATCCAAAATAGCAGCATCAGTTCTCACCTGAATTCTGGATCTCATTCTGTCTTTTTCTTATGATCTGTCCAGATCCATGCCAAACAGGTTAGCCAAAATGAAAACGGGCCTGCCTTCCTTTCTTAGGTGGTTCAGTGTAAAAGCTACATAGATATTTTATGGCAGTGGCTTTTAGAAATCTAATTTACACAAATTGAAAATTAGCAGGAATGTTTTGCTGTTAATGAGCATGCTTTCATAGATCAGTGTAACGTTTCATTTTTAGAAACAGGAACATATATCTTAGTTATGTTAATATGATTATAGCCCCTGCAAGTCTAGGTGCTTCCTCCTGCAGGAATTGAAATGGAACCAAACTCTGCCTCAGGACACACACTGGAATTAAAAAATGGAAATAGAAACAAATAGGAACGAAGGGCAATAGGTCAATATGGACATTGGTGTTTGTATAACTGCTAGTTGCCAGTATCAGTTCTAGCTGTCACTGTGGAGTTCAGCTGTGGTAGGGATTTGAGAGAATGTTACCAGCACTGGCAGAACTTGTTCATTTCTGAGATGAGGTGGCACAGAACAGCAGACTGCAAGTTCAGGTAGGTGCAGCTGGCAGAGCAAGACTTAATGTCAGCTGTGACTCAGTTGTTCAGCATTTTGCTGTTTGTTTTGAATGCTTGAAGCCAAACACAGAAATGATGTGTTTGTGTTCACCTTCCTGCTGGTTCTAACTCTCATCTGAATTTTTAGCTTTCTGGATGAGATGTGGGAAGATATTACACCACTTTCCAAAGGCTCGCATGTATAACATATACGTTTAATAAACCTCTGTCTTATGGCAGCTGTTTCATTTAACAGAAACATTCCTGGTTAATAGTAGTTGTTGTGATCTTACCATTGGTGTTGTTTCACATTTTCTTTCCTGTTAGCTAGACTCATTCCTTCTCACTGAAAAGACTGTTGTGTGCTTGTTAGGAGTCAGCGTTCCACTACTGCAGTTATTTTATGCCTTTGCACGGATCAATTCTATTCTAAATTAATAGATGCAGCCATTTATTCTCTGGAAATCACAGGATGCTCTGGAATACTGGAACATAACTGTATAAAATTAGTGGTCATTTTTTAACAGCATTATAAGGTCAAACCTTGAAGCGTGGAACCCAGGAGAATACTCAGGTATCAGAGGAGGTGGTTGTTACAGCAAGCTTAAGCTAAAGTTTATGATAGAAAATACTGTTTCAAAGCCCTCACTCACTACAGTTAGTAAATAAATACAGAAAAAAATACAGAGGGGAGTCGGATAAAGGGTGCAGTTGTTTTTCTAACTGTTAATACTGAACAATGCTTTTGCACTCATTCTCAGAATGTAGTTAATAGAACGGTGAATATCAGCTCAGACCCAAAGGGTGTATGAGAAAATGTCATAACAACTGAATTTTAGATATAATGACGTATTTTACATACATTACTAGTGATGCAGTTACATGTACACTGTACATGCTCACTGTACACGCTCTGAACTTCTGTTCAGAGTGATCACATACAGGACCTGTGTTATCTGCTGAGTGAGCAATGTTTCATCTTCTATTATCTTTTGATTAAGAGGCAACTGAACCATTGATAAAAATATAAAAAGAAAATAATACTGCTGCTTGGAAGAAAAGATTTGAGGTTCCCTGAGAAATTGAAAAGAAGTTATTCTAACCAAACAACTGCAAAGTTATATATAATTCTTTTCAGTGCTTCTCAAGGATTAAAGTATTCTATGAGCTGTTTTTGCATTCTGTCAGTCTTTGAGCATCTTCAGTGCTGCTCTTATGCTGTTTATGTGAAGACATTTTCCAGAAAGCCTATTTTTCCCCAGTATTACGGTTTTATGTAGCTTTAACTACCAAAAATATAAATTGGACTTAATTTCTTGGAGGTAAGCTGTGACAAAGGCTGTGAAGCACCTCTTAGTCTGAAAACAAAATTTCCATTTTGGGAATCACTCAATTTCACTTGGTTTGAAAGCACAGTGACCTTGAATATCAGGGAGCAATACTGAAATACAGACTCCTTATGGCAAAAGTAGTGATTTAAGCTTTTGCATGCATAAATACAGTTCTAGAAAAGTATGAGAGCTGCTCCGAAAGTAATGCCTCCAATCTTATTATGTTGGTTCATGATGACAGGGGCAAATGTTGGAAGTAAAGCAGTATTCCATTACAGTTTGTTGCCATAAGAGAAATGGCAGCAAAGGGCACTCTGACAAAATGGCGTCTGACATGGAAGTACATACGAAGCAAAAAAGTGTCAATGAATTCTTCCGTTCAGAAAAAAATAGCACTCATTGGTATTCACTGACATTTGGCTGAACATTTATGGAGACCAAACAGTGGATGTGAGCTCAGTGAGGCAGCAGGTGGTGCATTTCAGCAACGGCAGTGGCGACAGTGGGTCATCTCTGCTGCTGCAGATTTTAGTGAATGTGGCACGCAGGCTTTTTCTTGGTCATCTTTGGCACAAATGCAGAGCTCATGGTGATGACTATGTTGAAAACCACATTTTGTAGTTGAGAATTAGCACTATCAGACTGTTACTGTGTTCTTTGTAGATTTTAAAGTTTCCGTGGAAATAAATAGGAAGCTTTACTTTCAGAGCATTATTTTCTTTATTCTTTATGATTTATTTTTCTTCTAATTTCCTCAAACCTGTCAGAGGGCAAAGATTACATGCTTGCTGGACAATTATAATGTGTTCTTACTAAAAAATGGTCATGTCTCACATTTAGTCGTGGGATTTTCAGTACAAATGGACTTGCCTGAACCAGTCATTGCCATGATTTAACACAGGCATTTCAATGGGCACTTGATAGCTGCCTGAGGAGCAAAAAAAGAGAGCTACTTATGCTTGTATTAGGTGAATATCTGCACTGTGAGGGCTGTTTTCAGTTCTGAGGATCTGGAGCATCATTTACTGCATTTGTATGGTGTGCAGCATAGTGTATTGATATCCTTTTACTGATGCTGTTGAAGGAAAAAGATGTCACAGAAAAGTGCAGAACATTCACTGCCTTCCACAGCTTACAAAATGAAGTAAACACTTACCTGTGGATAAATACTAGCTAATGAATGTGCCCTTGTACAGCTTTTTGGACAACAATGGCTTTATTGGATAAAACAAAGGTGGTGAATTAAGAAAATAACAATTGCTGTCAGAACAAAGAAAGCAATGTATTTCCTGTTTATTGTAAAACACAAAACCACACGCTTACGACACTGATACGTCTCTAAAAAAACAGTGAAGTTTGCCAAGGTTGCCAGCACCCACTGCCACTACATTCTGACTACAGCCCCAGATGAGACTCTTCACAGTACACTCTTACAGGTCTGTACTCACAAGGCTGTAGGTTTGAAAACCGGACATACTCCCAGCAAGGAGAAAACAGGAGTTTCCCACAAACTTCCCAGAGAAGGGGATCTGTCAATGGGAGAATGATGCTGAGGATGCAAGTTGGTGTGCAGCATAGCCACAGGATGGGACTGCAACACAGATTCAGCCACTTGTATTTACCAGGAGAAAAAGGGAGGTGTTAATTCACCTTACTGCCTTTTGTAATTACTTTTTCATGCATATATAATGAAAGGTCTTATGAAAATAAGTGAACTAAATCCCTAATGTCATATTGAAAGCAGTTCAAGAGACTTTGGCACAGGATTTCATTGTTAAGGATAAATAGTTCTTTTAGCTAATTGTCTGATGCAGAAATACTGGAATGAATACAATTCATACTTTCTTGGAGAAAAGAGGTGGAGGAAGGCTGACAGAGCAAATATGTAACCCATAATATGACAGCCATAAGAAGAAAATGCACTCTACAGTACTGAAATTGTAGAAGTAGAGAATAAGGTTCTAGCACAATAGCTGCTTCACATGAATAAATGAGCTTCTACAGTGGGGACTGACAGCACAGATGTAGAGGCAGTGGAAGGGTTCTTTTCATCTGTGAGGAATGTA